AGGAAGTTTGATGGAATGATAACAATACACTTTCAGGCAGCTCCCGGCATGATTCCCAACGTCCCTTTTAGGGAAGGAGGTAAAATTACAAAGACGGTCAGAACGTTGTGTGCTAACCCAAATAACTGTCAAAACAATACGTTGTGGAGATTCAACGTCAGCAGACCATTGTACTTGACAAGTCATGTTCTTGCTACGTAAGTCTGGTGTTTTATAAGCTCTGTTCATCCGTATATAGCAATCCCCGCGTCGTATAAAGCTAAGCGGCCACGTGATTGGAGGTAAACTAAGGCGAAGACTGATGCATATGAGTGAGCTGCTGCGTGGATAGTCACCCCCTATCACTCATTCAGCAATTTGTTTGTCATTACTGCTGAAAAATGTCACGTTTCCTTCGTATCCCTGGAGATGCCTTGCATGAGTTGGTCTAATAGAGTTTGTGTCCTAAAACATAACCAAATGTGCCAACGCAACGTCTTATTTGCCACCTGCGAGGCCTTGGCACATGAGCATCCAGAAAATGCCAATGCACTAAAAAAGACGACGAATTGATCAAAACTTTAACGTTGATGAAAGCCATTTGATAGCAGGCAACTCAAGAATTTGATTGAAGAGCACGGAATAAAATAATCTTCGCTTAAGGCAGTGTCCGGGCAAAAAGTCGATTTTGAAATTTGTGCTTATCTGGGCTTATTCGTTGTGCTGAATCCAATCCACACTGGAGAGCGCGAGGAGCATTAACGCAGCAGGGAAGCAGCAGGTGAGCGGGGTCTTCTCACTTTGAGCTCACCCAGGTTCCGGAGCTATCTTCTCGATTATCGATTCATCGATTCTCGTCCTGACATCGTCCTCGGCTAAGTGTGAACGTTTGACTTGAAATCCGAACCAAGAAAATAGCTTCTGAAGCTGGGAGCGCGACTTCACAGTAGGGTAAACCCCGCCCACTTGCTTTCCCTCCTGTGTTAGAGCTCTTTTTCGCCGTTTCTCCAGCGTGGATTTTCGGACTCAGCATAGCGAATAGGCGCGGGTAAGCATAAAATTATAAAATTGACCTTTTGCCCGGACAATGCCTTCAAACGCTTAGAACCAGGCATAAAGAGAGGAGAGCACCATATTTGGCCAAACTTGTCCATCAAAGCCTTATAATAAAAAAATCAGGTTTTTTATACATAAATAATGCCTAGTTTTGACAGAGCTAGCAGCAAAAAAACTCGTCTGCAACATTCGTAATCCAGATTTGGGATGGTAGAAAGCCCATAAGCGAATAAATTTTACACTTGGACTTTGCGCACTCTCGCTTAAGATTTCTGCACTTTTTGAGTTCAATATCTTGTCAGAAAAAAATTGAACACAAAACAAAATAAAAGCGAAAAACGGCACCTCTCTTTACTTGGAAACATTGCGGAAATAATAATTATGAACAGAATCTAACTACAATCAATTTGAGAGTATCAAGTTTGACATAAGAGCTACCAGAGCTTCTAATGATTCAAAATTTCACTCAAATTCTTTGCATGTTGTATAGGTTGTCCCAAAAGTTTTGTGGTTTTATTTGTGGAAATTTGTAACCTTCCACTGTCCTTACGGATTTGCTACTTCATTTTATTGGGAAAAATGTTTTATTTGTAAAATATCTTATTTGTCTTATTTGTCTTATTCAGTTAGTTCAAAGAGCACCTGCTATACACTCTTTGCAGAGATAAAAATGGAAAAAGCCACTCAGACTTCGGTCATTCTAAGTTGGCTCGCCAATTTGGAGAGTTGTAGAATAGTGTGAAATCGTCAGTCATATGTTTTATGACCTACTCTTTTCAACTCAAAAAAATTTGTGCTGTTTGGTCCACAGAAATGTCCAAACAGCAAAACTTTTTCAGTTGCAAAGAAAAGTTCATTAACCTATACCCACAATGAAGCTCATAATTCGTTAAAAAATTCGCCGGAATGCGCTGCAGTGTGCTGAAGTGCGGTAGAGTGCGCCGCACTCCACTAGAGTCCGTTGCAGAGCAGCGGAGTGCGCCATACATCGCTAAAGTCTGTCGGAATCCACGTCGCATCGTCATATCTCGCTTCAGAATGGATGAATTCTGAATCCAAGAAAGCCGTTTGGTTCAACTCGGGAGACGCATCATCTAGCATATAGAAGTGTCACATTTACAGGGTGCATTAGATATACGGTAGACAATAAGTTTCCGCTCAAGCAAATTTTTGTTTGGTTGGATTGTTCAGTGTGCTGATAACAATATTGCCATTGATTTCTCGTTGATGACACATAGTATATATACTGTAGGAGTGTAGTTATGAGTCATCCTGGTATTTGTCCTAAAATCAGCTCTCAAGGTACAATACCGCTCACAGAATGTGCAAAATTTCCGTGAACCTCCAGGAATTTCGCGAAAGTCCGGATACTCCGAAAATTTCGTGACATTTCAGGACCCGCCGAGTCACGGAAATTACGCAGAATACACAGCTTCATAACTTCCTTTGAAATGAATACATTTGGAATCCGGAAGCAGCATTGTGTTCAACTCGTCAAGGCAGATCTTGCGATATACAGCATGTCCTTGATATTCCGGTTTCAGCATTCTTAAATCTTCCTGCGGACGTCATTTCGCAAAGGTCTTAGGCAGCGCGCATTGCTCGTAGCAGATTTCAGTAAAGACCTTCTGATAGTACTTTCTCTATAGATTATGAAGCGCTAAAGAGTAGTCACAGGCGTCTATCCAAAAGAGATAGAAGGGCTGATTTTCGTAATCAGTAGGTCGGATAACTTTTATGAGCAAGATCTCCAAGATCTTCGGGTTATTTCGTTTTTCTGTCTTCCTACGTTCTAAGGCTCGCCCACGAATTTTGATCAAGATGTTGATGGTCTTGGATTGTGAGGGAACTTCGCTTATAGAGGTTTTTAAACATGCTCCTTACAAAAATCGTGGTCTTTGGGGAATATAGGGTTTTTTCACAGGGATACGGTGAGGTAACTGTAACTGAGTCACGAAAGTTCGTAACTTCGTCTTCACTTCTCGTGTGTCTGTCAAACTCGCCTGCTTGCTTTTATAGGTTTAAGTTACTAGGAAGTGTGCCATCGAATGGTGCATGTCTTTGGCTCCAGTCTATAAAAATCGCCAAAAAATTTACCAGGAAAAAGTTACCGATTGAAAATGTTAGATTCTTAAAGAACCTAGTTTGTGTAAGAGTTGCGCATCCTAATGTCTATGATTGGGTATTATTACGATAGAGAAACTATTCAAAAACAAATGGAAACGAGTGTGAACAAGCAGAATATAAATGATGTTACACTTATTTTGTCGCATTACCCAACTGATTTTGCTTGTTAAGAGGTTTGAACGAATGCTCGTTGGAAGCTCTGAATGTTGCTGAAAAACTCATATGTTAGGGTGAACGGTGAAAATGGGGCAGCTTGACTTTTATCACATTTTGAAATTTTTTGTTTTGAGCAACAGCAGGCTTCAACATAGACGTCGCTTACATAAGCGGCTTCGCCTGTTATTCTGGCAACGCGTTGACGCTTCAATCCCACAACGCTTGGCCTAGCGCCTCGAAGAACTCGGACAGGGTCTTTTTGAAAATCTCTCATTCTTATGCAGCCGTACCTCAAAGTTATAAAGCGAGTCACATACCATTCGAGAGCTCTTGACTCTCTTTCATATGGTTTATTTATGTAGGTCTCCTTTTTATTTCCAAACAAAACTACTTCCAAAAAAAATCCGAATTTCTGACGCAGTAAACTGAAAAATCATGTTTAATTCTATAATTTACTGGAAATAAGAGAAATTTGAGGTAAACAGCATATGGACGGATAGAGCGTAAAGAACTCTTTCAGAGCCAGAATACTGCCAGAATTGCCAGAATACTTTCGGTCATTTGCAAAGAAGTCAATAACACCGGTAGGGAAAAGGAAGCTCTACAAGATGGAATATAAAATTTGAAAAATTGGAATTGGAAAAATGGAATCCACAACATACGTCTAGAATGTATATTATATGCAGGTTCATAAATGAGCGTTTCTGAAAAATTTTGACAGCGCTTTTGGAAGTTGATGGAACAGCCTCTCGAGCCAACCTAATAGATCTTCTTAGCTTTCTTAAAGGCAGTGTCCAGGCTAAACCTAACCCCCTCCGATTAGTGTCGGTCCTGAAAGTAGGCCCCAGAAAAGGGGCATCTGCGTTGGTCCGGTCTTCTGACGTTGTCTCTGAATGGAGAAAAGGGGCCTGAAAGTCCCTGGCTGGGCGGAGTCTGATATCAGACTCCGCCCACCAAGGACTGCTCACTACCTTGTCAATACGTGCCTCCCGACACGTATTGACAAGGTAGTGAGCAGAAGCTGCACACTGCAATGCAACTGCACCCATGCAGATGCAGCTCCTTTTCGCTGGCCTGCCGACGGGGACGAGCAATTCGAAACTCGTCCGCGCCCTCAAGACTGGGTCCCCAAGAATCGGTTTTTTTGGTAATCAGGGCCACGGAAAGGCTCCAGAATGACGAAAACATGGGAGACAAAATTCTGGGTGGACGCTGCCTTTAACCTAATTTGATAAGTGGCAAGCTTTGCAACAACTTCCTCAACAACCTCGTATTCTCTCTCAGTATCATTATTATCCAGTGTTCGGATTCAGTAAGTAAAAGCTTTGGCGTATCAAATCGAGCAGTTGACATCAAAGGTGTGCCAAGCATATGTCTTGAGACGCCGTGGACGGCAAGGCAAAAAAGCTTTCTTCACAATTTTTTTGTCTTCCACTTCCGGGGAAACATTTGCAGAACATCGAGCTACCTGTAGTAATTTCTAAACTGATGTTTTGCCAACATGCAAATAGCTAACAGATTACGACTGGGCATATTATCTAGCCCGCTTACAGGTTGGAACTTGTGCAATGGAGGTTGGTCCCAAAAACTTCAGAAAATTCAAACTGGGTAAGTACGCCTAACATCATTGAGAGCCGAAAGCTTACCAAGTACCCCAGACGTACGACACCGAGTTGGAAACCATGGCTACATCGAGTCTAGCAGAGTGGAGGAAAGGCGCACATATCATACAGAACACAACAGAGAATTGCAGTGTAGAAATTGGATTTACTGGTGGTATTCAATACACCGATTACGATGTGGAGACCATGCAACTAGTGCGCTCTGTCTGTGACAATGATTTTTCGAAAACTGATTTGTTGCATTTCCAGGCAGCACCATGGTATCTGTACTACATAGCAAGTGAAGTCTCCATACCGGAGACTGCAGGGCGACTTCTCGCACAGGTCAGTTGCTTATAAAATGTATTGACCACCTGGAGTATACCACCGCAGATGCATCCGGGTAATGTAAGTATTGGCTGTATGGTGGGACGACGGCCGCCCAGTGCCTTTTACTATGGCATCTGCTTCTATCGTGGGCATTGTAATGACTGGTAATCTCTTTCTACCCAAACCTTCCGGTCCAGAGTAAGCATGTTTTTGTAGGACTGATGAGAGAAAGCTGCCCGAATCATCTGCTAACTTGACGCTCTTCCCACCGACGAAAACATGGGGACCAAGAGATAAATTCCTTGGCTCAAGCTTGGTGATGGGGGCGAAATTGCGTACAAGCTCTTAGTACTTACGCATCATCTAAAGTAGTAAACTTATCTGATCAGTCGATGATTGCGTCCAATCTTGAAAGCAAATCATAAACCGTACACATTTGCCCGACATTTTAGAAGCATTAACTTTCTCAGAGCCGAGGACATCCTCGACGAAGGTGTTTTTACCAGCTTCGATTAAAGCCACCCATTTTTTGTGCTTTTACCCCTTTCTTTTTTCTTCGTTACAAAGACGATTTACCGCTTTTTGGAGCAGAGCATTCAGGGAATCTTCGGAGTTCCTCGTCTTCATCCCTTTTTTCACTTATAATTTGTTACCCTAAATTTACGCGTACAAAGCCCACTTTTTCGATTTTTCAAACGAGCCGCTCAACCGCTTTACTGGATTCCAGAAAGAGATGTACCGCACGATTCTTTCAAGCTATATACAACACGTTATAAGGTCTCTTGTTTGTAAAGTCCCTTGGCGTGTCTGGGCTGGTCGATTTTGGAAAAAAATCCCCACGCCTTATACGCGTGAAATTAGGGTAGGTTGTCCCAGAAGTAAACCGTATTTCTAAATAAATCAAATTGTATTTGTTTTCCTGGCTTGGGATGCCATTTGATAGGCTGAAACAAGCTCTACAAAACGTCCACCAAGGAACCGTCTAAGGCGCGGTTAAGGTAAATTTGGGTCCAAAAATCAAAATTTTTCAGCTACCCTTTAAACCGGATCTCTTTCCAGAAGATTTCTAAGGACTTCCATCTTGGTCTTTATATAGTAAAACATAGTAGTACCCAAAAATGGTTTTGGCTGATTTTTTCGGGACTCAAAATTGAGAGACAAAGATCCCAAAATGCCGAAATGCTACTTTTTTTCGGGTTTTTCATGTAAAACTTGGTATTTCTCAATTATAAAAGCACATACAGGGGTAATATTTTGCGTTTATATTTAGTAAGTCTTTAGTATACAATGACGCAGGTGCCAAGGTCTGGGGCGGAGTTTGCCATTTTCAGACTATCTCTTTTTTTCTCTCTAATCCAATGCTTATTTGAATACAATCACATGTACAATGCATAATGACTAGGTTTGCGGTCCGTACGATTTTTCTTCGCAAAAATCCAATTTTTAATTATTAAAATTTTTTCGATTTTTGCTCCAAACTTTACCCGGAATACGAACATGGCCGGATCTTTTCTGATCATTTTATAGAGCTTGCTTTGTTCTATCGAATGGCACTCCTAGTCTGCCAAGAAAACAAGAACAGTTTGGTTTATCTAAAGGGTGCGGAAAAAGTACTGTCCCTCGAAAAGTTTAAAAAATCGGCGTAATTTACAGGTTTTTCTGGTAAGTTTGACATAATTCCCAAAATGTGAATATATTCTAGCATTTTACAAAAAATTATACAAAATTATACAATTTTATCCGGCGGCGGATTCCTTTTCGCAGCGCATCTCATATCGAATCTTATAGCTTCCCTTTCCAAATGTGAAAAAGTGTGAAGGTTTCTGGAAAATTTTTTTGTTTGTCACCGGAATTAAGAAATCCTCTACTGCTTGAGGAATGTGGTAGTAGTCCCGAAATATTCTGGAATTAGCCAGTCTGCAGTTCCACTAGGAGAAAAGCTGTGAACTTTTTCAGCGAGAAAGTGGCTGCGGAGCAACAGAGTGCGATCAAAAACCTGACAGAGAGACTAAATGTAATCGTTTATCGCTCCAAAATCGTGATGTAGACAAAGTACGATGCTTTTTTTATTATTCCTGTTACTTTTTGTTGGAATGTGGAACTTAGAATCATAGTTTGAATTCAATTCATTGAGCAAGCGCAGTTTTGACTCGCCTCTTTTCGACAATTTTTGCGATTTCCGTGTGATATAATCATTATTATTTGGCCAAAATAAGAGTCACCAATCTATAATTCATCCATAATGGGTATGGAATAATGGAGAAGGGGTCATGCGCTACATACCAGCTTAATTTGAACTTTATATCAATTCTGGAGGTATAGTCACGGTCCCAAATCGCGCCAGTACGCTATCGGCCCGTCGTCAATGTGCCGGAGAGAAGGAAACACTTTTAAAATCAAACTTATCTTTATCTAACCTCAAGGTCCTCGCCTACGTATGGGAATCGAAAAACTACAGAATTGCTTTATGTTTGCGGTATTTTAGGAGCCAAGCTGAAGAGACAGTACTTTTTCCGCACCCTATAGAAATACGGTTTATTTTGGGACATCCTAATATGTTCGTTTTCGATCGTTCGTTTATTATACAGGGTACCAAAAGTATGTATACACTGTTTGATCGTTAATACCTCTCTTCCGAAGAAGACTTTTGTCTAGCTTTGAGTATTATTTTGTAGAAATGACTTCACTTACAAGGGAAGCTACCTAACTTAGCTCGGCCTTTTGGCAAGAGCTATAAATATTCTGAATGAGCTTCAAACTCTAATTCCAGATATGCTATTCCTAGCTGCCGAGTACCATTCCGAAGCGAGCATGGACTTTTCCTGCGCGAAATTGGTACACTAATCGACTAACTGGCATTACGGCATCATCTTCTAAGTGCTAATTACGCATTAACGCATTGCGTTAAGCTTCTTTTTAGTAAGAAAAGATTGAATATGTGCTTTTTTAATAATTCAGCACTTACTTCTTGCAGGCTTTTATCTAAAAGCAGTCTTCCTATGTTCAGTAGTATGCCAATTTTGCGCAGGGAAAAGCCTATAACTCGCTCCGGAATGATGCTCGGCAGTTAGAAATAGCGTATTTGAAATCAGCGTTTAAAGTCGATTCAAAACATGTAAGTCACTTGCCAAAAGGCCGAGCTAAGTTAGGTAGCATTCCTCATTAGATTTGCAGTATGGAACGAACCACCATCACTCTTCATTACGGTAGGATTACGGTAAGAACTTCAAGAAAGGTTTTGAGCCATTGACCGCAATATTTCGATTGAAAAAGGAAACCAAACAACCTGAAAGCTTTTGTTTTTAACTAAATAAAACCTCTGAAACTTAATGTAGACTTTGCACTACCGCAATTCTTCCCTTATAAGTTACTAGCTGGCTTACCCGGCTCCGCCGTATGTTCCGAATAGAAAATTCCATTTCTCAACCGATCCGGACCAAACTTGGCACACATACACTTCGGGCCCCGGCGGGTGTCACAGTCCACTTTTCGTTATCGATCGATGTCGATTTTATCGATTTTTTGCAAAATTTGAGCTAGGGGGCTGTAATCTGATCAGCATGCTCGAATACCCCCCTGTGCCAACTCCCAGCCCCGTAGCTCAAATTTTGCAAAAAATCGATAAAATCGATTCGATGACGAAAAGTAGCCTAAGACACCCGCCGGGGCCCGAAGTGTATGTGTGCCAAGTTTGGTCCGGATCGGTTCAGAAATGGAATTTTTCATTCGGAACATACGTACACACATACATACATACATACATACAGACAGACAGACATACAGGCAAACAGACATTCAGCTTTATATATAAGATGCCAGAACCGATATACCAGTTTTCAGACTTTTCTGAAACCTTTTTTTTGAAACACGTCCGTTCCACAAAGACGTGTAAGCTTAAAGTTTCTATCGTAGTCCTACAGTAATGAAAAGAAATTGGTGATTTCTATACTGTAAAGCTAAGTCGGAGCCAGCTGTACGAAATGGAACTTGAAGGTAAGTATGAGACTTCTTTGGAAGAGAGATATTAAAGATCAAACAGTGTATACATACTTTTGGGGCACCATATATATCGTTATATGGACAATTATTAGGTTGTCCCGAAAGTTTTGTCGGTTTTTTCCATCGCTCACTAAAACCCACAGAACACCAATTCATGGAAGGACTAGGTGTCATTTGGAGCAGATTTTCATTCTCTTTCTTACAGCTATATTTGCTCTCTGATCTATCCTGTCTTCGCAGTGTTATCGCCATGGCTTTTTGAGCAGCTCAGCGGTAACCCCAAATATTTTCTGAATTTTAAAAATTTTTCTCTTGCTACTTTCGAAAAGCGTTAATGACTGTTATGTAGAGCCATTCTTTGGCTGCATTATACTTATTTTAGATTACATGGGTCACGCTTATCAAGTCCTAAATAATTATTTATTTAAAAAAATTACCGCCTTTTGATTACGTCTACCACGTAAAATCACCGAAAATTCAAAAGCTGCTTTTTCGAAACAAATCAAACTTGGATGTGTTTCATAAATAATGCTTATTAGCAATCAAGTTTCAATTCGCAAAAATTCCAGAAGCTTTCATGTTTTTGCCGCAGTTGCGTGTTCCATGATTTTGCCAGAAATCGAGACCTTCGAAAAAATAATTCTTTGAAGCTAGAAACAGCAACGTAGGGGAATCTAAAAACATTACCGTATAGGCCGAGAATTGTTCTATTTGTGCCATGCTTAGTCCTTTTCAAAACTTTGGAATGAAAGTTTTAAAAATTAGCCTAACTTTGAGCAGCTAAGAATGACGAGTGAAGATTTGTGGCAATTATCAAAATAACCATACAGGATCTTGGATCTTAAATGTAACCTTAAGAATAAGAAGGGAAAGCTGCATCGAATGTATGTTAAACCTCATTCAGGTCTTCATTGTGCGTGGTTTTATAGTGGTTTAAAAAACCGACCGACAAAACTTTCGGGACAACCTAATATTATATACAATAGCGCAGAAAATGTAAGTCACAACATGATCAAAAGAATACGATAATAAATTGAGTTTGGAAACTACACACATAAAGATAAATTACAATAATCAACGATGGAATTATAACCAAGGTGTATAATAAAAGAGTTTCCACTTTCAAGCAGAAAAATTCATACATATCGCTTCTGGTTTATCCATCCACGTTAAAAGCTATTGTTTGAAGAAAACTTTGAGAAGATCATGTACCTGCACCTAGCTCAGTGGTTTTATTGAAATTTTGCAGTCACAAAACATACTCACTTTTACTGAACGGGGTGGAAACATAATTTTACCGAATGTTTTCAATGCTTCCATAAAAATAAATTCGTACTATTGACTTGTACA